CACTTATAGCCGGCAGGAAGGTGGGTGGTAGAATGGTTTGGGCAAAGTCAAGTACTGTTTATCAGCCCAGACAGAAATAATGCTGCCAGTTTTTATCAGTACACTTTGAAGGCACTTTGTTTAATTGTATCTGTAATTTGAATTAAGTACTAGTCAGCAGCTGGAGAAATAATGCTTACCTAGCACTGTACTTGCGACCATAGAGCCATTTAAGCATTCAGAACAAAACAGGCTGTTACAAGGATCTTTATGCTATTGAGGAGAAAAATGGTTTTGCACACAAACACAAACTGGCTCTCTCATATTATAGACTAATACAATTTGGTAAACCTAACCACAGAAATCCATAATCCTCCTATTAATAAAGTCATATGAAACAAAATCCTGTAATATAGCACATATTCTGCACTAAACAAATTGGCAGCAGCAGCTGCTATGAATTGTGGGTAATCCTGTGATAAAACAAATAGATCTGCTTTGGCCCTACCATAAAAATTAATCAATAATAATGTCTGAGCTAATGAAAGAGCCACTTATAAAATCAGTGTTACCCATCAGCTTTTATAAAACATGTTTAATTTCAATGCATTAAACTATATTAAACTGAGGAGGAAAACCATTAAGCATCTTTCAGCTACCCCTTGTTGATAGTAATAAGAAAAGAATTGTTGTTTCTGAAGCTGCTCCAATCCATGAAATCTTTAAAAGTCTAACTACTGGGACGAAGGAGGAATATTCAAATCACTCATAAGCTTTCCTTTGCATATTACTGCTATTCTTTTCACAGGCACCAGGGAGTCTTTATAAACAGCAGAAACCAAGTCTTTGCTAAAAAAATAGTTGCACACAATCTCAAATGCCTTGCATGATGGACGGAAAAATTCATGGGCATTCAGTTTTACATTCACTGCAGTTGACTCAGATGATTTCCTGGTAAAAGAAAAGGGTAAGATCACTGGTCTAGCACTGTCAAGCCTATGCAGAAAGGATGACAGCAAGTGCTGCTCCACAGTTATCTTGGAATTATTAAAAAAAAAGAAGATGAGGAATTTTGAAACAATAAAGATTTTGGCTGTGTGACACTTTTCTAACCTGGAAAGGTGATGAGCACAGAAAGCAGTGAGGAAGAAAGCATGCCTGAGTAAGGAGTTTAAAAAGAAAAAAGGACATGGTTATGGTAGTCAGAAAGACACATGGATTTGAAATTATTTTTCCCTCTTTGAAACCTAAACAGATCCTGTTTATGCTGAGCCTGAGCTGAAGAGACAATGAATTAGTCCTTGCACCTGCAACTGTCAAAGAAAATATGCCAAATGCTGCAGAAGATCCCCACTTCTCTATTATTTCTAAACCCTGGCTCCCAGTAAATTTCTTCCCTCAATGCACAGCAGATTATCCAGCAAGGCTGTGGAGAGTGGCTGGAGAGCTGTGATGTTCAGCCACAGCCCGAGAATTCAGAATGGCAGGAGCCTGGCCCAAGACTGAGCCAAGTGGTACCCAGCCAAGCAAAGCTGACTCAGAGAGATGTGGGAAGCAATGTAACTCCACCTGAGACACAAGGATCCGCAACACTTCATGCTCTACACTCTTTTGCAGCAAAGATCCTTACAGTGATTGCTATATATTTTTATCCCCAATTTAGACACAGGTAAACATGGCTGGAGAAGTTAAATGTGTCAAGAAAGTGTTCCCAGTGATAGAACAGAAGACCTCACAGGTGAAATCTTCATCTTGTCAAGATCCCTGAGTTTTGCTGCTGTTTTGCAGCATGCTTTCACTAGAAAATGCTCCCATTTTCACATTTTTTCTCAGGTGTTGATACCTTCCATCTTCAAAGTTGCAGAACAACTTCAGAACCTAAACTTCATCTCTGAAAATTAATTTACAATAAATCCCAAATTAATCTCATAGAAAAATAGGAGTGTGATTATCATTAGCCTCAAGAATCGTAGGAGCTTGCTTAAAGACAAAAGATATTAGGAAACATTATTTTTTCACTATGAACATTGAGACACTTACAATGCACGTGCAACTTGTAATAAAAATCAACATATCTTTCCTTGGGAGACTATTGTAGGAGTTTACCAGCTAAGAGGGCCAGTCAGGCATTCCTTACCAGGATTGGCATATTATCACTAATGTGGACTCAGATGAAAGGTCTCATTGAGTAATCCCTGGCCCCAGGAAGATCTATTTTCTAAAGTGCAACTTGCTTTTTTATCTGGGCCTCTCATACCTATTTGCTTTCAGGTAGAGGAGGGTGGTTAGCAGGTATTCAGCTCCTTCTTTGGTCCCAGGCTTAAATTACCAGGAAAACACAATGCAGCTGTTCAAGATAGTTCAGAAAGTATCACTGTCCCTGAATTTTTGGATTTGCCTTGTTGAGACTAACAAGAAATTTCCTCTGTAAGACAATTAATATTTAGATCCATCCCCTTTGAATTAAATTGTTATCACAGAAATTAACCTAATTACACCCGATTAGGTCAAGGAATGAGCTGGAATAATTTTTTGTTACCATTTTTAAGGAGACATTATTTAAAAAAAGCCAATATAACTATAACTTTACAGCCCTCCTGATGGCAAGAGGAATAACTGAAAAAGTATAATTTTTCCTGTGAAAGGGCGTTTGCATAAATGAAGCACAATCTCCATTGCTTTTAGCTATTTCTATACAACAGAAGGTTGTTTAAAACAAACTGGAATTAATTCTACTGTCATGAGGGAATGTGTCACTCTTTGGAAAACAAAAAATGAAGTTCATGGAGAACATTATTGTAGTTAGCCCGTTTTTTGTAGGTCAGATCTTTGTATCACAGAGAGTGATTTCTCTGCAGGGATGGCTTCTGAACTTTTCAGTGCTGGCAGGTGCATGATTTTCTCTTTTTATTAAAATATCCAGAAATTTGTGAATCCTGTCCAATACTCAGGGGGTCCTACTTCCAAAGCACCCGAACAACTATTCTAGTTCAAAATTCACGCACTTGCAGTCAAACTTTCCTCCTCATTGAGTATGTTGTCTTCATGTTCCAATTTAACAGCTTCAGTAACAGATTTTATATTAGTCTTATTTTGGTGGGGAATGTGGAGTTATAACTTTTGCTGTTACAACGCCAGTTAACAGTATGACACCACCATGAATTTTTTCTCATGCTATACATTAACAGCTAAAATTGTAGCATAGGAATAGCAGTGCAAAAGGTACCACAAAGCAGCTAACAACCAAAATACTGCAGATATATACTGAGTAACGCTTGAGGAAATTGCCTTATTTCTTATGCACATGTCAAATAGGTGCCAAATCCTTAACTTATGTAAATCAACTGATATCATTCTAATAACTAACCCTCACTGAAGCTTCATGTCTAAACATGTAGGCTGTAGATGTCTCTGAGGAAAGCCCACAGCAGGGTAGCTGCAGTACTCATAGTTGTTCAAAGTGCAGCTAATTCTAATCTATACTTTCCTTCAGTCAAATTGTCATGCTAGCAGAGGTGCTCATTTCACACGTCTGAGATGAGACAGAAGCAGGACAGAAGCTGTTCAGAATTCAATGACCAGCACTCCTATAAATAAGTCCCATTCTCTACAAAATGAAGTCCTCAGATATTTTCTCCATGTGGCCACTACTTAAGAGAGACAAACCAAGAACTGGAGCTTCAACCACTCTATGAACTCTTTACACTTTTCACTTAACTCATTACATCAGTGCCTTTCCCTCAGCAGTAAATCCCTTCACCTATGTGCCATCCCTCTCTTCTTTATACTGAACATTGAGGGAATTCAAGCATCATGAAAAAGAAATATTTTCCTTCAAATCCTCTCTCCAGGATCAAAGATAAGTGTGAATCTGGGGGACAAGGCTTGGAGTGACTGCTCTTTGTGTTACCCTTATACACACGTAACTTACGGTATTGCTGAAGGACAGGGTTTTTGTATTGTCTGACCCACAGAATCTACATATGGAAGTACGATAATATTGTATGCACATATGCAATTATCATTGTCTTTCTTGACAGACTGTGCTGCACATAATTAATTATATTCACTCTAAGATTTTGTTTTAGACCAAATATTATGGACTTTCTTATGTGGGTCTATAGAACTCAAGCCAAAATACTGATGAAAGTATTGTACAGCAACTAATGTAATACAATGGTTGAGACTATGATTAGTCTCTAATATATCAGTTTTCTTCTGCATTTTAAAGACCACAATCTCAGCTACTTTTATTCTTGATAGCTTCTTACTTGAACAATATTTAAGACAAAGCTTAGACTTCAATATCTTGAAGACAATGGACTTCGTTCTACCAGATATTTTTCTGTTAGTATTTAACACAGAACTAACAGGGCAGGATTACTATGGCATTCATATCATCAGTTTCATAGTGATAATCATAATCTCATTTCAAAGCAACAAATTTCTAAGGAGGATCTTGGAGCAGCTGTTGGTGCTACATACCAGGAAGACCAGCTAATAGGAAGAGCAATACAAAATGCAGCCACCACTGCCAGTGGTGATATATGGCAAGCAAAGTTAATTCCTTCTGCTGAATACATAATCAGATACTGTGCAAGCATATTTGCTTCAAGGCAAAAGTGGTATTTCTCTGCAAATTTCTAGCCTAATATTTGTTACTAGAAAAGCAACACTCCTGCTCCTCAAGCCCTTAGTTTGAAATCTAGTACGATGAAATACAACTATGTAGGTACCTGAGTAATACATGTAGGTATAGACATACATACACATCTTTCCAACTTGTTCTGAAGCATCTGCATGTTTTTTTGTATGCAATGGGACTGAGAGATCAATGTAGAAATCTGTCTGCAATTGTCTGGAGAATATACAGTACTTCAATACTACTTTGTTTGAATTGCCATTATTTACTAGGTTACATAAGAGACAAAGTATGGTTAAAACTTGTAACAAACCTTTGCGTAAAACCTTTAATATGAGCCTTCATTTGCACAAATTAAGAATGTATTGAAAACACTTACCTGGAATCGATAAAAGGTGCCATCATCCTTTAGCGTTAGAACATGGTCTGAGATTGGAAAGAAATAACCATGTGCTGCCATCAGTGTTCCCAAATGTAGAGCTTCCACTGTTTGAAGAACAAAAGAAAGATAAATTAAAAAAAAAAAACCAAAAACCCAAAAAACCCCACAAAACAAAAACAACAAAAAAAACCAACCTTCTTTCAATCAGTTTAGTTTTCTTGTTCAGATTCACCTTATCACCTCCAGATAACCACCTGACTCTCAGTCAGGGTCCCGACATCATGAAAGCTCTGTCCTTTTCTATGTAATATAATGATGTAATTAAAAAACACCATTTACTCTCCTTCACAAATGGCTATTAGATGTCCCATGTGTAGCTGCAGATTCACTACTTACATCAACATTAGCAGGTAGCAACAGCAATGTTCATTCATCTGTTTTGCAGCTGAAAACAGCTTTCGTTTTCGCCCTGATGGTGCAGCCTGCTTTTCTATCTCTTAACAGTTTCAGATTACATAATGTTAAAATAGTTGATCGCAATTACATGATATCTTCCTCATTAGCTTTACCAGAACTGCAGTAAAGGATAGAGATTTCCGTAAAAGTTTCTCATTACTGGGAAAATAACAAAAGACCACAGAATGGCTGAGGTTGGAGGTCATCTGATCCAATCCCCATGCTAAAGCAGGGACACCTGGAGCCACTTAACCAGGAACATGTCTAGACATCTTTTTAATTTCTTTTCTCTGAGCAACCTGTGCCAGAGCTTGGTCACCCTCTCAGTAAAAAAGTGTTTCCTGATATTCAGAGGGAACCTACAGTGTTTCAGCTTGTGCCTACTGACTCTGGTCCTGTCCCTGGGCAACACTGAAAAGAGCCTGGTTCCATCTTCTTTACAGTATCAGTCCCCAAAGCCTCTTACTCAGTATTGTCATTATTTAGCTGACAAAAATACAATGTTGCGAGAAGAGACAGCATTCCAGTCATGCTCTTGTTGCACTATTTAAGTCCTACTATCTCTTTATCATATTTCTTTACCAACCATGTAACAACTCAAGTACATAACCCTGAAATAGCTGCACAGCAATTTCTGCTGTAACATTAAAAATTTCCTAGCATAACCTGCTATTAGTCCACATCCACTGGCACTTCCTAATTTTAAAAGATGAGCCCTGGAAAGAAGCACAAGGGTTTCTGAAATATTCTGAGTTTCAAAGCCACCAGTTACAGAAGCTGGTGCTAGTGAGGACAACTTTGCTGCAGGACAACATCAGCAGTGAGAAAAACAAAGATCAATAGAAAGACAACATTAGACATATATGGAGTAAGGGGAAGGTGGGAAAGGTGAGGAACAAGACTAAGAGGAGAACGACAGAAACAGGAAGATCTGCTGAAAAATTAGGGATCTTCGATCTAAATGTGAATTCACCATGAATCCAGAAAGTATGCAGAATCAGTAAGGATGAATGCGCGCACTATGGAAAATATATTACACAACCATGACATTCACAGACTCATTCACCCTCTAGAAAGCGCTCATTTGTTCTTATTGCCTGTAATTTGGCTTTCAGCAATGGCAAACATAGATGCTGTAACACAGATCTGTCTTGTCCTGCCTCTTTAAAACATCACCGTAGCATCTGACCAGCAATCGCAGCACCATCATGCAGAGAGAAATGAGTCCTGAGATGTGTGTTCTTGCTAACAGACACAGAAAGAGAAATTTGCTTATGCTTCACCCACTATCATTTTGAATATGAGAAGGAAACACAGTCTTATTTATTTATCCATATTTCATCAGCATCTCAGAAAATTCCCTCTTTCACCCTTTTGCTCCCCTGAGACATCCACTGGTATAGGAGACAAAGGAGGTAGAGTGGGACGTTCTTTAAGCTAACCCAAAGCCAGCAACATGTGAAAGGAATGAGAAAGGGGATCTGGGCAGTACTTAACTGAGGGCACACAAGCCTTCCAAAGTTTATTTTATACCTAGTGATCCTCATGATCTCTGTGTTTAGCAAGCTGGCTCCTGTCCGTCCAGCAGAACCATTACCTAAGAAAATCCAACCCATCTTCTCCAGCAGTAGCTCTCTGGCCTGCTATAAAATGCCACAATCCTGTTAACAAGCCTTCCACCAGTCACAAGCCTGTAAGTAATCTCCCTGACAGAGGAAGGTGTTGCTTTGTTCCTTGTGCTTGAGATGTCTACAAATCCCTATCTGAACTTTATCCTAATTAATGTAAGTCTGTATTGTTGTTATTCATGTATTTCAAGCCTCTAAATTCTAAATTATTCCTTGTATCAGAAATTTTGAGCAAACTTTCTGTAGTGAGTCAGTTGGTGGGGTTCTTTTCATTTTTGTTTGCTTTGTCTACCTTTTAATTTTATTAAGCTTTTCTTTTTCTTCACACTGAAACATACTGCTGATTGCCAATTCCAAAAACTTTTTTTTTTTGCAGGTATTATGTATCTTTGTGAAATGAGAGATAAATAAAGGGGAAAAACGTGCTGTCATTTTTTAGAGAAAGGATTTCTTAAATAAGGGTGACAGGACTTGCCAGGGAGCTCTGATGGAAATGAGAGCGCCTTCTCTTCATATTTAGCAGAAATTAAATAGGCTCCAGATTTGTTTCATGTTCTTCCTTGATTCTGAATTTTCATGTTTTTCAAGAGCACAAGGAGCTCAATTTATTCCCTTTTACCCAGCAATCCAAAAAACTGGACTAATATGGAAATAATGTGTCAGTTCCAACATAAGAAAGACATCAACATATTTGAGTGAGTCCAGTGGAGGTTCACCAAGATGGCTGGGGCTGGAAAATGTAACAGAGAGGCTGGGGAAGCTGGGCTTCCTCTGACAGGAAAAGAAGGTTTTGGGGGTGCATAGCAGCACCCTTTTATTGCCTAAAAGGAGATTACTAAATGAGGGAATGAGGGAGCCAAGATCTTTATGTCCTTACAGAGTTGCATGGCAATTGAGAGGAAAGAAACCAACCCCACACATAAAAAAACCCAATGGTAATAAACTAAATCAGGGCAGTTCTGACTTCTGCCAAGCAGCAGAAGAGGCTTCCAAGAGAAGCTGTGCAATCTGCATCCTTTGGAGGGTTTCAAGACCTGAATGGATAAACTCATGTAACCTTACAGTTGACCGTGCTTTGAGCAAGGCATTGGACTGGATTCACAGAATCATAGAATGGATAGATTGGAAGGGACATTAAAGCTCATGTAGTTCCAGCCACCAAGCCACAGTCAGGGACACCTTTCACTAGCCCAAGTTGCTCAAAGCTCTGTCCAACCTGGCCTTGAACACTGCCAGGGATGGGGCATCCACAACTTCTCTGGGAAGCCTGTTCCAATGCCTCAGCATTTGCACAGTACAGAACTTTTTCTATACATCTAATATAAATTTCTGTCACTTTTAAACCATTTTCCCTTGTCCTATCACTATATGCCCTTGTAAAAAGCCCCTCTCCAGTTTTCTTAAGTCCTCTGGAGGTCCCTCTTAACCTGAATTATATTACAAATCTAGGTGGGTTAAGCAGAGGTGGAACAGGAAGCAGAAAAAAAGTATGGCAACAACTGAAGAAGAAATTATTCGAAAGCTCCTGCCAGAGCAGCCTATAATCCTGGCAAGGTTGGTTACAGTAAAAGCAAGAGCTCATATTTCTCTCACTGACCACTGAGTCATATATGCATGTATACAGTCACTACTAGTTCTCTATACAAAAAATTGAAAGACTGACCTGGTCGTCTCCAGAAGCCAATTAAAGTTATTCAAGATCTGAATCATTCCCAATTAAAAGCTTATATCTCTTCTTCAGTTATGTATGGAGTTATGTGCATTTAACTTTCACTTCTGACAATTTCATTCAGCTGGGATAAATCTACATTAACTCAATGATGAGGTATCTCTGTCCTTTTAGCCATCAAGAGCTAATAGGACATATAAACTTGTCACATCTTCTTTTTTTTCATTAGTTAATAGACAATTACTTTTCATTTTTTATGGCTATCAATCCAGCAACGTATTCCAGCATTGCATAAATATAAATGCACAGATATACCTTTTTAATATCAACCTAAGATCCCCTGTTGCTCACACTTGGGAATGTGAGCAGTATCTGCTTTATTATATTCATATTCTTATGGTATAAAAATAAAGACATTCATTTGGAAGTCTAATATTTTCTCCATTGGTATCACCTGACAATGGAGCAACTGCATAACCAAAGCATTGTCATTAATCTATAAATCAAATACAGCTCAAACAGGTGAACAATGTCCACAAAATTGTAACTTGAATAATGCCCACAAAATTGTAACCCTGCCTCACAGCAGACTGGTAGGGCACTAATGCTGCTACTGTCTGTGCAGCAGCAGTTGGATTCTGCAGGGAAAGAAAACTCAGCTCTCAGGAGATTTCTAATCTCCAGGCAAGAAGTTGTCCTGTGTCTTACAGACACAGAAAGGGCAACACTTTGATATACATCGCAATTTGCTAAAATCAGACTGAAAAATAAATACTGTAAGAAGCCAATGAAGCAGAACAGAAGGATTTAGGAAACAAAGCCATAAGCCTGAAAAGGAAAATGTAGCCAGCACCAGACAAGTCATACATGTCTAAATGCCTAGAAGTTCAATTCAGAGAGCCTCTGCATCTGCCAGCTATTCCTGCGTGTGCAGTTAGGGGATTTTCATGTAAAGAAGCATGTTTCATCTAGAAGAATGGCAGATGGAGATTATGAACATCAAAAACTTCTATGTAACGCATCAGTTAAGAGGAAAAAAGCAGCCTGACAAAGTGCTTTTAAGATTTATAAAGGTTCTCAGGTAGAAAAAGTAATGTTTATATGTAGTTAAATGTCATGGTTTAAGCACAGCTGGCAACTAAGAATTGGGAAAAAATAAAAACACGTGAGTTAAGAACAGTTTAACAATTGAAATAAAGTAAAATAAGAATTAAAAATCAAAGATAACAATAATAAAAGATAAAGGTGAGAAATGAATAAAACCCAAGAAAGACAAATGATGCTCACCACCCACTGACCCAGCCTGTCCCCAAAAAGTGTATATACTGAGCATGACATTCCATGGTATGGA